TGGGGCTGGTTTTGCCCCTGGGTTTGCGGGTGTTTGCCTTTTGGCAGGGGTGGTTCAGTATCTCCAGCTTAGCTGGGTTGGTTTTTTTTCCCCGTGGTTTTTCATTTGTCATTTTTCTTTTAATATGTGAAAGCTACCTTTTCCCAGGTGGGGTTATGTATGTTTCTACATGTCATGTAAACTTTCTGGGCCTTCTGTTGCTGTGTTTGTGCCCTGATAGATTTAAATCGTCCACAGTAAAAGAATGCATCCATGCAATACTGAAGGAGAAGCTGGCCAATGTACAGTACATCCCAGAAGAAATGCCTCAGCTTACAAAGTCTTTATCAGAGACAATAAAAGACAGACTGAAAGGTAGGGAGGTTTGCTGGGGAAGTAATTTCTTTTCTTACTGCGTCCTCTCCTTTTGACAAAATCCTTCTCTCCTTTATTCTTGAAATTTATTTTTTCTCCGTTGACTGACTCGAGTCTACAGTTATGAAACATGCTGTCCTATATACATATACATGTCCTATATACATGTCCTTGCCTGGGGGGCTAGAAACCTCATTCAAGCAGGCAAGATTTGTTTTCTTATAGACGGGCTGGTGTGGGATGTCAGCCTTGGAGGGGCTGCAGGGGCAAAGAAGCTGCTTTAGAGAGGAGGAAGAAGTGATGCTTCTTGCTTCAATAAACAGAACCATTCCAGCTGGTTTTCTGCTGTAAGTTCGATCAGAGTTGGGTCAGAGTGGAGTAGCAGGGAGATCAGAACAAGGCCCAGTGGGAGCAGCAAAGGGGGAGAGAGGAGCACAGTCAGCTGAGGAGGGGCGTGACTACAGCCTTACAGCACTGGGAAAAGGTTGTGGTGGTGCTGCGCAGGATGCCCTCCAACATTTTTGAGTTTAAGAACTAAACTTCAGGCTCCAGCAAGTGTTTCCTGTGTTCAGTGCTGGAACAAGTCCATAGATGTGAGCTGGCACAGTCACTTATTTTTTTGCCTTCCTCCTGGGGACCTGCTGGTGCTCCATCTGCTGGCCTGGCCTGACATGGTGGCACAGAAACAGTCACCCTCGGCAGGAACGGTGGAATGATGCTTCTCTCAGAGTTACGCATCTGCTTTAAAACCAGCAGCAGCTGTAGTCCCAGCACATGTTGATATGGAGCTAATATGCACAGAGCTTGGCTTCAGTCATCTGGAAACACATGTGCAGTAGCCTGAAGCAAGACTGGCCTGGTGTGGCGTTGTATCCGCGGGCATCTCTGCTAAGCATTGACATGGCGGGCATTACCAGCCCCAGCACGCTGTGTTCAATTCTCCAGTGGAAACAGTGCGCCAGAGTCTTCCTGGGACACTGCTTTGTTGAAGACGGGCATTAGGATCTATATTTTATTTTAAACATGCTCATACTGGTTTGGCTTCTGGAATACTGCCATGGCCTGATTTGATCTGGCCTGTGCCCCAAAGGTATTTCTTCACTATTGTAAAACAACTGCAGATCTCTGCAGACACACAATGTACACCCGCATGTGCCTTTATGTGGCCTTTTATCCCAGCTCAGAAGCAAAGGAAACACCTCTGTGGCAGAAAAATCTCTGCAATACCTTTGCATCAGAACAGTTTTAAAATAAGACTAACTTTTCAAATTGGACTTTGTCCACCAGCAGCCTTATTTACATTCTTGTTCAGATCTTGAAAGCTGTCAAAGTAGAATGCTTATGTGGTGACTGTTCAGAGCTGTCTTCTGCCTTAGATCCATCTTTTGACAGATGCCAAATACCCCGTTCACCCTTTAACTCCAATAAGACCATCGTTCTACCTAGGAAAACGAAGCCGGGAGGTAGTCTGTCCACTTTACCAATTGCATGGACTTGCACAGGACACTGCTTTCTAACCAGAAATCTTTAGCTTTTCATGTTCTGTTTTGGGCTCATATTTTAAACAAGTTGTTGCTCTCACTGACTTTTTTTCTTTCTCACCAGAGGAGGGATTTGACAGGTACAAAATGGTGGTGCAGGTTGTGATTGGAGAGCAGAGGGGAGAAGGAGTGAAGTAAGTTTTGCGTCTTCTAATTGTATTTCTATCATTTTTGTTGAGTTTTGAAGGTTTTTTTTTTTCTTTGGAAACTGCTTCCAACTTTCCTAGGATCTCTCTGCGGATGATAAGGTGTAAAGCACTTTTCTCTTGAAGTGGCGAGTGAGGGCTTAGACTGTGGCTGATGGAATTACCCAGTGATAACTGTCTGTATGGTGGTTCTTAACAAGCTGAAATACTGAAAAGCATTTGTGAGGAGTGTTGCAGAAAGGCATTTTACTTTGTATTCATGATGAACTGGAGCACACACCCAGTCCATTCTCAGTGCCCTGCTGGAGCACAGAGTATGGTAACACGCTTCTGTCTAAAGCCAAGTTTCCATAAGCACTTTATTTGTATTTAATTCCCTCAAGTAGGCATTTTTCAGAAGTTTAGATTTCTGTAATCCCCATGCAATGCTGTCATGAGAATTAGTCATGACTATGGGTGCTGGGCACTTGCAATCTAGCTCCAGATGCCTGCAATTAGTCAGAAGAATTCCTCTTGGCTGCAGTAGTGGGCTGTAGCTTTCCATTACAAGTGAGCAGGGAGAAGACAAAAGAGAACAGCCCACAAGGTTTATGTGCTTTATCTCCTGGGCTTATCTTTATTATTGTGCCTGGTACTCCAGCAAAAGATAAGTGCAGCAGAGCTGGAATCAGATCTGCTGCCTCAGTGTTCTGGAGGCCAGGCAGGAGTGTCTGTACCTGCTGCTCAGGGAATGTCTGTCTGCAGGCAGACTGCTCCAGAAGCACCGTACCAGGGTGAACGGTTCAATGAGGTGGTCTGATTTGAAATGTGAAGCCCAGCAATGCAGACTGATAGAGCAGTTGGGGAAATTCTCTGGTTTGCAATAGGCGGGAGGCAAAACTGAAGCATGATCACGAACATTCTTCATGCAAAATACCGGGTAGCCAGGATATACCAGAGGCAAAGTGGAATACTGGACTGAAAAAAAGAGCAGAATGACCCTGAGGGCTAAGGTAATGGAAAAAAAAAAAAAAAGGTGAAATTCAACAGTCTTAGGACAATAAGTCATACATATAGGGACTGGGAATAACACACTGTGCCACAAACAGGGATCACATCAGCTGAGACTTGACTGGGGCAGGCAGGGAGCTGGGCAGTTGCAGCAGAGAAAGGGGAGGGTCAATGACATTAGACAAGGCAGCAGCGGCATCTCGTCTGTAATATCCTGTTACAGTTTGGTTGCTTGCCTTCATGGTAAGGCTTAGACTGAAGCAGGTGTAGAAAAAGGCCAGCAGGATGGTCAGGGAACAGACAGTATAGATAAGAAAGGACTAGAAAAGATTAGCTCGTGGTCTAGTAACACGACATCTGCCAAGGAATACGATAGCTCCCTATAAATAAATTGGGAGTATGTACTAGGAGGGTGCAGGAGGTGAAGGACAAGAACAAATAAGCTAAATTAGCCACTGATATGCATAGGCCAGGAGTCAAATGTTCTTAAGCACCATAGCGATGGGGTTTCAAGCCCTGCTGCCCATTGGAGGTGGCAGGGTTGGCAGCTGATGGGTTTGAAGATGGAGCTTGATCAACATGCAGAGGGAATTGCAGCATGTGGTGGAATTCAGCAGTGGGGATCTAGGCTCAGGATTGAGGAGAATTGCTTGCTGTTTCCTCTGTCTTTAAAGAAAGCTCAATTTGCTTTTCAAGAATAGTATCTGTGGTCACTTAGGTTCTTCCATGTGAACTCCTGGGTAACAGCTCCACTCTGTCTCCTTTGTCTAGCATGGCTGCGCGATGTTTCTGGGATGCTGACACTGACAGCTATGCTCACGATGTGTTCATGAATGTAAGTATCGGTGTTTTACCAGGGGAAAGCCTCAGGCTTTTGTATGAGAGGCAGAGTGACCTTAAACGTGGAGTAGAAAAAAAAACAACCACTGGAAGGAAGGAACCAAGATTCTATTGAAACAGTATGATTTACATCCTCGTTCACAAAACAGATATAATATCCAACACAGTAAAACTTATTTCCTGAGCAGGTTGTACAGTACTGTACAAAAGTCGTTCTAGTTCCACCATTTTACAGGTGGGGAGAGGAAGCACAAGAGATAAAGTCTCATATGCTTTCTGAACTGCTGGGATGGTGTATGGCTGGAATTCAGGGCTGAGCAAAAGTCAAGGTTTTATTTTATAATTATTTTATTTTAAACTGACACCTAGAGAGTGGTAGGTGTGTGGACCGAGTAAACTGAGGCATTTCTGGCATTCAGATACGCGGACCTGGGTCACACCACAAGTGAGGTGAACAAGTAAAAAGACGTAAAATTGCAATATAGTGTAACAGAAGGTTATACTCTGTCTAAATGTTTCCTTATTCTGACACGGAGCCTTTCTCTGTTTTCCCCAGGACAGCCTGTTTTGTGTGGTAGCTGCATTTGGCTGCTTCTACTATTGAAGATGGCAAACATTGCACAGAAGGACAGAGGTGGGGGAGAATGCTTTTTAGGGTATTTTTTTTGTTAACGTGCACAAAAGCATCATGTTCTTCCTTTAGTACCTAATGAAGTAACAGCTCTACAAAGCATGGCCTACACCTCTTCCACACACTACATCATTCCTTCTTCCTTATGGATATTGATGTAGCTTTAAGCACAATAGTATTATGTCCTTTATTTAAAACACCCTTCATTTTTATATAGTGTGTTGGTTTTGTCCTAAAAAAGTGTATTGCCAATAGCCATTGTTTCTAAGGCAAACTCATCTCTTGCCTTGAGAGGGTTCTGTTGTTTTTATTTTTGTTAATTTTCTCAAATGAATGAAATATTTATAAGAAATGTAACATAATAAATCTATGTATTTAATATTTCCTCTCCTGTGAGTTGACCCTTGCCATTTCCACCGTTTGTCCTTTTCCTCCGCTCTCCCAGATGCACCAGCCTTGACTGTTTGTGCTACTCAGGTGAGGGTTTTCTGAGGATTCTTTGTAAATTAACCCATAAAGCCAGCCTCATATTCTGGTTATCCCCATTTGCTCCTGTGACTCCCATAAGATTTGGGCTGTGAATCCCAGCTAATTGTCACATGAGATGATACTAACTGATAGGAAGAAAAGGTATTTAGGACATTGGGTCTGGCCAGCAGCTGGCACAGCACACTGACTGCCGAAACTCCTCCTGGCTGTAACTCCTCATCAGTTTGGTGCAATTTGGCACCTGTGGGCACTGTGAGTAGTCACTCTCATTGCCCTCTTCAGCAGATGCTGCAGTGCTTTTTCCATCCTTGCCTCTCTGTAATTGTTTTGGGATGTGAGGGTGGATGTTTGGAGCCCAAGTTGATTAGGACCCCAGCTTCAGGAGGGAGCAGTAGAAAAGGCTGCTGTAGATCAGGAGTGCTAAAGCCTCCCATCTTCCCAAAAGTTAGAGGATGGGGCTGGTTCACGAGAGTTTGGGTACCACCAGAGTGCATTTCAGGTGCCCATCGGAAAATGGGATGAGTTGCTCTGTGGCGATGCCTGTTCTCTCTGTGCTGACTGAGGAGCAAACACAGCTGAACAATTTCAGTGGCATGAATGACTTTTAGAGTGCTGAAGGTAGGTGAGGGGAATCCTGCATCCCACCCTCACCCACTGCTGGAGCAGAATGCACTCTGCCCCTGCAGCTCTTGGAAAGCGGAGAGTGATTGCGATGCATCCTCTAGAATCAGTGACAATACTGGAGGCAGCACACTCCTGTTTCTCTATTATGTTTTATTGAAAGTTCTCATTTTCCTCTGATGGGAAATAGAGGGTGACTTCCCGGATTGCTCCGCAGCTCCCTGGGGCTGTCGCTCATCGAGGGAGCTGCAGAGAGGGTGCAATGGCACCATTGGGTTTGTGTGTGAACCAGGGAGTGAGAGTTTTGCAGAACAGCGAAACCCTCCACTTAAGAGATCCTTCCCAGGAGATGACACACGCCCTCGAACTCTTGTTTTGACACTTTTATCAAGTCACAGTGACTAAATCACGATTTTTCACTTTGCACTCACTCTGGTTAGGAGGCTTTTAACAGCAGCTTCCCAAAGGCGTTGCACAAAGCAGGTCGGAGCCTGGGATGTTCAGCTCCCTTGGTTCCCTTGGGTAACGGGTGCCGGGTTTCCCCCGACAAAGCCCAGGCAGCTGCGGCAGC